AAGCAATGTTAAGGATCATTGTTACCCAAGGCCTTGCTAAATTATATTTACTTTTCCAAGTGATAAGGAATTGGGGCATTTAGACTGAACAAATGCGAGAAATTGGAAAGGAAGATGGTCCCTGAATGAGAGACAAAGAACCCATTGTACCAAATTTCATCGGTTGTCAATTTGTAATCACTCTGGCTTGGTAGGTCTTACTGGCACTTCACTAAGCATGTAAGGAACAGTAGGAAGGGGATATTTTGTTTGGTTTTTCCTGCATCTCATCCATCAACAATATTCACTGTATTGAATTCTTTTCTTGCTTAATACAGGAAGCTACATTCGTTAAAATAGTGTTATTGACATCATATACAAAAGCTGACATAGATGACATGTGACTCTACCCTTGGATGAAATTCTGTACCTCTAATATTTTAAGTAACTCGTTAGACGAGTCACTGCCATATCTTGAAGATAACTGATTATTTTCAAGATAAGACAATGTTTCTGAACTCTTGGGCACTAGATTTGGAACGCATCCCAGATTCACTTCGATCATAAGAATGAATAGATGGATCTTTTTGATCAAAATGTGTAGCCAATTCAGAAACTTTTGACCAGAATGATCTTTTCTGATGTCTGGTTTGCAACTGAGGCCAGTTTGCGTATAGAAATCTTACGACATATGCCAAGAGAGAACAAATCGAAGCAACTCCAGTGATAATGAAGAGGCCACCGAAACTCTGTACATTGAGACTACATGAAGACATAGTTGTCTGATCTTGGCAAGCTGATCTACCTGGAAAATATTTCCGCTTGAGAACATCCATTTTGTCCTTGTCTTCGGTGACTTTCAAGATTGCCCGAGACATGTATGCAACAAGAGGTGACCCTTGTGGAAAGGCCTGCAGCAACATAACCCATGATGCAGTTAGGGCTTTATTTTCAGGCATGATTTTGTCAGAAGAGTGCATGTTCCTAGATAAGTAAATGAAGGTATGGGTGAAGAGAGATTTACGAAGCCAAGTCCATCAGTTTTGTAGGTTGGTCCTGTCGTCATGAACTTGCTGCAATAGTGGGGAAGAAAGAGTTGGAGGATGTGCTCTGCTTCAAAAATCGCACTAACACCACCATTTTGGCTTCCCCTTGATAATGCTTCGTCAAACTCTTCAGGGGTGCTGTAATGCCTCAACTTGAATGGGTCGAAGTGCAACTGTTTTATCAAAAATTCTTTGATATATGAACCCGGCCTGTGCCCTACAAAGTCGCCATTTGTCTTCAGCTCATCCACATCAACCACTGCTGGCTGCAGACGTTGTACTGTCAGCATTGAGGCTAAGCTCGCAGTATAGCTCTGCGTTAGGATAAGCACCACAAATATCCATATAATCAGCACAAATCTTGACAGGTTGTTTATCACCTTCTCCCCTGTTTCCAAGCAAAATAGTATTACAAACATGCTATCACTAGAAAATCTATTCTTAGAACTGTTTAATCTAAAAGTTTAAACTAATGTGAGTTTTTCACTAGTAGTATTAATTTCTAAAATTATTATTAAGGGAGGAGGAGGGAGAATGGAATTACTATGAGCAAAGACAAGAGTGGAGAAGGAGAACCAGCAAATGGTTCCAACTTGCTGATCTGGTGGACCTCTGAAGTCATCGTTTATACGATGTTCAAGAACCCATACCACTAAGCCTGTGAAGATGAAGGCCAGCCCTGTTGTTAACCATAGATCCCAACTCAATGGCTTTAAGAAGATCCACATGTTCTTCCCTTGATCATCTTTTATTTTCACCACCATTGCCACATTTGATTCATAGTATGGCAATGTGAAGTCCACATACTGTGATCTATTTGCAGTTATCATTATGTCCCCTACAACAGAATCATATTTCTGCACGCATTTGTACGTGTAGATATAAGTGAGGGAAGGAAGCAAAAATGATAGTAGAAAAGAAGGAAAGAAAGTAATACCTACTTGAAGTTTGATCTGATAAAGGAGATTGTCATAAGTTCTGAAACGGTTTTCATCATCGATCCTGAAGGGAATCAGTTGATGTGGAATTGCAAATGACAATTCATGCAAGACAGCCAAGAAGACATCATAGGAGAACCCTGAAATGATAGGCTCATTGCTATAGGGATCAACTTCCATTCTCAAATATTCTGTAAACCCTGCTCTTATGGGAACTCCAATCCTCATTTTCTTCCCAGTTACTGGCATAACCCAACCTTTTGGTATAGATTTTGTGCCTCCTGGCCAGACTGGAGGTATCAGTCCATCCATTGAAGTTGTGTATGCTACTTTACTGGATTTTTGGCTGCGAGAAAGTCCTTTCTCAGGAGTCCAGTACCCAATTACTCTGGCTTGTTTTCTTACAATATTTATAATTTCAAAGGTTGTAGACTTCAACTGTCCATTAACCAAACTGAAATCTCCACTGAGGCCTTTGAATTTGGTATTTAATAACATGTCTCGTAGGCTCAGACCTGTATCAGACACCCTTAAACCTGAAAGATAAGCCGCATTTCTGGATGAGTTTTGTTTGAAAACTTCAGAACTCACCTCTCCGAGTCCAATCCCTTCAGCAGCCATAGCTAATGCCCAAACAGTATCATATGCCCATAAACCAAGAAGGTTTAGTTTGGTTGCATTTTTGCTTTGAGAGGC